CAATTTGCTCAGTCCTGTTACTTGGTGCAAGCTAGCTAGGTGCATTAGCAAGAGCAGAACAACTTAGCGACAGACCAACTAAACATTTCTTAAACATGTAACTCCGTTGACTAACAAGTGAACAACTCGTCTCAGGTTGTCAGGAACAAACTGCTAAACTGTATAAGAGAGTTTTCGTAATGAATAACTAGGTAGAAGAGAGAAAGAGAAAGAGAGAGAGAGAGAGAGAGAGAGAGAGAGAGAGAGAGAGAGAGACTCAGGAGCTAGCACTTCGGGTTCAGTCTAGCAGGCTAACAAACGCTTTCCAGATGAGAAGCTAACACAGCTAGAGCTAACAGGCTAGCACTACTAGCCAATTGAAACGACAAGTAACTGTATTGGCAGGCTAACTGCGAGCAGCATGTTTTATAAGACGCGCGGCCGTTTTCTAAACACCGCAACAAATTTGCTTGCATAAACAAGATTTTTTTTCTCTTGGCTCCTTGTTAAGATGTTTGTAAACGAAGTTAAATTCGGCCCTTTTGGCTGTTTTCGCTCGCCTTCCTCCAGTAAGCACTGCACTTAGGAATAGCACTCAACTCTTAGAATAAGGATAAACCAAGGAAAAGGCAGGCATCCAGACTTCCTCACCTACAGCCTACACACTCAGATATCTCGACTCTACGAAAACAAAAGCGGCTCAATAAGCGACCAAAGTCCAGAAAACGACCAGAATAAAAGTTCTAATAAGAAGAATTAAAAAAAAAAACATCCCAAGGTGCACTTACCCTGCACTCTTCACTTGAGCAGTAGTCCTTCTGACAAATTATTTAAATAAATATTTACAAACACCCCAAAATATCTCGGCAAACAACCCCCTAAAACGATCCCTTACATAACTGTAGCGATACACGAACATGGATTTAGTCGGACGATCCAATCTTATGTTTGTTTGCTTAAATTTAATTTGTGCGTTAAAAAAAAAAGAGAGAAACTGAGATACAAAACAAGAACTCTTCTTCAATCTCATTCACCACGACCGCAGCACAAAAACGATCAATGCGCGCAGGAAGAGGGAGACGAAGGGGCTGTTCAAACTCCACGAACAACGTGTCCATTTAGCTTCATTTTGCCTTCAATCGCTTTATATTAAACAGGAGAATGTTAAAGTGATGGCTGTTAGTCAGATCCGTGGGCGAAAGTGAAAGCGAAAGGTGTTTTAAAACAGAACTACTTTTTGTGACGGTGCGGCGAATTTATTTCACTTTGCCTAGGGAACAGTGGTACTGCGACTTCCATTGCCTAGGGAAAAACCCGGATGTAAACTCGGCGAAACTCATCTGGAGAGAAGTGGCACAAGCAACTCCGTTCAACTCCACACCGAGCAAAGAAGTAGCTCAGAAGAAGAAGAAGAAGAAGGAGGAGGAGGAGGAGAAGAAGAAGGCCTTTAGACGAATCCTACGCAAGCCCCCTTTTTAATAAAGTGTCTTTACTTTCTTTGTAGTTACAACACGTTTTTTTTTTACTTCTGCATCTCGAGTCCCCTCTGCACGTGCACTGCGCTAATTGTATTGTGCTAATCGGTGGAGAAACAGTACTCTTCTTGCTGAGTGCGCGCGCGCAGGCGACCGGTGCCGTGTTATGAAACAGGAGGCTGCTGCTCCGTTAACCAATAAACAGTTTTTTTTTTGTTTGTTTTTTTTTTTGGTGCTGCGCCGCCATGACATCTGAGCCTCGGTGTTATTCCACACACACTTTCATTAAAGTGTTTCAGGACATCGTTTTAAAGGTGCAATAGTCAATATTTGTAATTTCTTACTAGTACAAATTATGCAGAAATAATAAATAAATAAATAAATAAATAAAATAATAGCCATTTTCACAGGACTAGTATAGCTGGAAAAAAAAAAACCCCAACAATTTGGAAACCATGCCTTCTGGTCCGGAGTGTCTGTTTATATTTGGATTGGCCTGTTGTCAGTCATTTTATAGCCACGCCCCCAACATCACTTCACTTCCTCTTAAATTATTATTAAGTAGAATTTTGCATGTTTATATGTAGTGAGTTGTAATTTAGCTTTCAAGCAGCTGAGTGTCTGTGTGTGCTTGAAAGTGATGTTATGACAGTCCTTGCTAATGCTAACTCTAGTTGCACCGCCATAAGTTTTGGAGGCCGAGGTTTGTGTACATGGTCGGAAATGGGACCAGACTCAGTGAGTAAAAAAAAAAAAAAAATTCAAATCTTATTTAACTCCACCCAATTAACCCATTAGAGACCTATTTTTCACAAATCTTACCTAATGCACCTTTAAATGGGTAGATCAGGATAGTTCCAAGGGGCTGTGAAGATTAGTGAGATAGCCCTAAACGTTTTTCAAAAGGTGTATCCGAGGAGAGGAGATGTGGGTGTAAATCTTACCTGAAACTAAATATGATGAAATACTGTTTCTGCAGAATGATTATATTTGTTAGCTACATATAATAATACACTATGGCCAAAAGTGTGTGGACGTTTGATACGTGTTTCTTCTCCAAACTGTTGCCAAAAAATTTGGAAGCACACAATTGTGTAGAATGTCTTTGGATGCTGTAGCATTACAGTTTCCCTTCACTGGAACTAAGAGGCCCAAAATCTGTTCCAGCATGACAATGCCCCTGTGCACAAAGCGAACTCCATGAAGACATGGTATGTAAAGGTTGGAGTAGAAGAACTTGAGTGTCCTGCACAGAGCCCTGACCTCAACCCCACTGAACACCTTTGGGATGAACTGGAACACTGACTGCACCCCAGACCTCCTCGACATCCCAACATCAGTGCCTGATCTCACTAATTCTCTTGTAGCTGAATGAACACAAATCCCCACAGCCACGCTCCAAAATCTAGAGGAAAGCCTTCCCAGAAGAGTGGAGGTTATTATAACAGTAAAGGGAGGCAAAATCTGAAATGGGATGTTCAACAAGCACATGTGAGTGTGATGGTCAGGTGTCCACATACTGTAGGCCATAGAATGTACATATAATACAACATGTTCAAATACTGCGGCAAAAAATTGAGTATGTTGACCTCAACGTGACTAACCGAATTAGTCATTTTTCAAGCAAAGAATACTCATTTACAGTCTACAAGCTCAGCTTCACGATGTGAATCTTAACCATTATAAGTGATGATGGTGAACACTATAATCTATAAAGCGACCTAGGGTGTTAGAAAGGCCCTACATAAATTGAACAAAAATAAATAAATAAATAAGCAAGCAAGCTGGACTCAGTCACTGAGTAAAGACATCTTTAGTCCCTTTTAACTACACATTAAATAAAGAATTTAAAAAAAAGAAAAAGAAAACCCTATTGACCATTTTGGTCAGTAGAGGGAGACATAATATTCCATATTCTCCCACAGCCAGTAAGCCATTGGACAAACTAGACCAATCCATCCAGCCGCTTTGTCTTGGTCAGTACTATAAGACCAGTTAGTAAATGTCATGTAACTATGAGTCAGTAAAGAGAGTGAAACATAGACATAGAATTGCACATATGAAGAAGACTGTAAAGTTTCCAAACATGTAATTATGTTACTGCAAATGCCAGAAGAGCTGATTTTCTACGGTATCTTTATGGCTACCTTACAAAATCTGTGCATTGTAATTCACATTTCTCATTAATACTGACAAAAAGTTTTCAGATTTTCAGAAAAGTCAGTAAGGATATATACGGTATTCCCTATTTTCTTCTGAAGCAAACCGAAGGCCAAGCTATTGTGTTATATTTATCAATAGTGGGAGCAATTGTATTGGAAAATAATTTCAGCTATGCTTTAGTCAATCTCAGTCTAAAGACACAAAATCATTTTCAAATTAACCTACACACAGGGGTTTCGCAAAGAGTAGGTAAAATAGGGGTGATTCCACAGGCCCTGAGTAGAGACGAGACCCGAGAGGACCCTAGGAAATAGAGATTGCTCAGGAGAAATAAAAAATGTCCATGCCAAGGGACTAAACACCACAAAATTATAGCACAGTGATGACAGTTCATAAACAACAGGTTTATTTTGAAAGATTCTTCTAAGTAAATTGATTAGCACAAATTATTCACAAGTTATTCATTTTCACTAAAATAAGCATACTATTTGGTGGCTAAAACGTTTTCCATGGCATTTTGTGTGTTGTTTAGGCTGTATATGTATCTAAACATTTAAATCCTAACATAGATAATGACGATCTAACCGCCTTAGATGATATACTAAAGCTACGTCTAATCTGTCTGGCTTTCACAGAGTTTAAAGGAAAACTCTGTATTTACCACCTCTGTCACATATGTCCAATTAAGAATTTTGATGTTTCATTGTTCTGATAAAAGATTGGAGAGCTCTTTTTGGGTCTACCCATTTTACAAAGAGATGCTTCTAAAGAGACGCTTCGACATCAACCTCCAAAATATTATTTACAGTGCAAGGTAAGGGGTTTATGCTGTGAAAAAAATGTTGAACTTGCCTGCATACTGTACAACTAGCTGTACAACTAGTGCATACTGTATATGGAGCATGTGCACTCAGGCAGGTGTGTTTGACCCCTTGCAAACATCCTAGTATATTGGGGTTGCCCCAAGGGGTCACACCCATAAATTCAAGGTGTATGGTCTGCTGTGCCATGGTGACCCATTCATCTAGGATTATATCTGGCCATCAGTAATTGTTGAGTCATGGTCTGTTCAGCCAGAATGAGGCATCCTGGCCTAAAACGGCTGTCTGTGAAGCACACCAGCCAGTATGTTGTCTGTCTGTTTGCAAACAGAATTCCGTTCTGCCATACGTATGCACGATTAACTGAACCACCGTCTTGTGGATTTGACAATCCTTGGGTATAGCTGTGAGAAAGCGCATCTGCTGTCTGATGGTTTTGGTTCACTAGGAATGCAGCTCACAGAGACGCTGAAGATGGTGTGCATTTGCCCATTTCCAAAGCTTTTTCACCCACTTCAACATTGCATACTTTATCACCATTACTGACTCATGCTTTTGCATGTGCCTGCAGGGCTAGTGGTTAGGCCACAGTGCTCTCACCACTGTGGCCCAGGTTTGATTCTTGGCCAGGGAACTGACCCCGGCCACTGGGGTTGCGTGCAACAGTGCGCTCTCAGTGCTGGTCCCAAGCCTGGCTCATGCTTTGACTCATGCTTTTGAGATATGACTGACAGTCATTCACCATTCAGACAACACTGTAATGGTCTGTGGTGCAGCATTCCCAGTTTTAACACTGGGGCTGCTGCTGTCAACATCCCTGCCAGATGTAGAAAGTCTACACTCCTGGCCAAAAAAATGGGCCAAGTCCAAAATGGCAAATATTAAGCTTTTAATGGTCTTAACAACAAATCATTGGTCAAGAAATTAGCAAGAATGAAACAAATAGATAAAGGAAGTTAGTATGGGAGCTTTTCCCTTTGATTTCTTTACATGTTTAAGCCTTGTGGCCCTTGATGGGCTGCATCAGGTGTGGCAGATAACCAAATAATGACTAATCTTTTAAGAAAAAAAAAAATCCCAGAAGATATTTTTGGAAAATTTTGCACACCTAGACATGTGTTAGTTTGAATTTTACATCAAGCATTTTAATCATTATCATGATTTTACCTTTGTGTACAAGAAGACTACATAAGTGAATTTCCTTGTTTCTAGCTTTTCCCCAAACAGTTCACTGCAGCAAAAGTCAATGAGCAAATGGAGGCACAGGAGCTCTCAGGAGTGCATTTGTTTCATTCTTGCTAATTTTCTGACCAATGATTTGTTATTAAGACCATTAAAAGCTTAATATTTGCCATTTTGGGCTTTTTTTGCCCAGGAGTGTACATAGGAATGGTCACTTGTCATTTTCTGCCTGCCATTTTGATTGAGATAGCTCTGTCTTCTGACGGAAAGGCTCGCATGAAGTGAAGCTTCATACCTATGTACAGTCTGCGCATGTGTCAGAAGGCTTTCCTTTTAATTGATTTTCCTTCCTAGACCTTCAACATGTGAGATTAGTAGCCCTGTCTGGCTCATCACTTGCTCTTGGGACTGTCCACCAGCCAGTCATCTTGATAGTGGGGTACACACAGACCCTGGCAGTGCAGGGACTCTAAGGCAACTCTCACACATTTTGTAAATACCCTGGGTGCTAAAACTAAAGCATTTAAAGGTGGTTAAATGCCTTAAACTGATATGTCACCCTGCTTGTAGAAGTGGAATTGCCGGAGGCAGTACTAGGCTCCCTTGATTGCTGTATTTCATTGCGCTGTTGTATTCCTGCTAATAGTGCTTGCATTAGGCCCATACCACCTGCCAGCTATCTTAATCTGCATTCCAACGCAGTAAAGACACTTAGCCTACTCCTCCTCTTCCATGGACTAATCAGTGTTTCTGTCAGTTACTGTTCCTGTTCCTGCAACGTGGTGAAGGATTTTATCTTCTTATTTCCAGGTGGGTCACTAATAGCATTATGCTACAATTAAAGCAATGGTCTGTAAGTGCCTGTCTGAGATGTTCAGGTCCCAAACAATTTGGGCACTGATCACATCCATCGTCCAACTAAACTGTGGCTTGTCTGAACACACAGCTCACCATCCTGTCCTGAAATACACAATAGATTATGAAAGTTGGCAATGTTTCAACAATTCACACAATTACAAATGTATGGATTTGATAATATCATAAGATGATAAGAAGTTTCTCTACATCAGTAGTGCTGCTACATGCCAGCTCAAACAATTTGCTGTGTGTCTTGTTGAGTAACACAGTCAATCATGGTTATCAGTTGTGGTTCATTCATTCATTAATTTTCAGTAATTGCTTCATCCTGGTCAGGGTCGTTGGGTTCCAGGGACCATCCCGAGGACACTGGGGCACATGGCGATTGAGATTTCAGTCCATCGCAGGCCACAATACTCACACATACATTCACAACTAGTGGAAATTTAGAATAGGCAATCCACGATATGTGGAAGACAATTGGAGAACCAACAGGTAACCCATATAAACATGGGGAGAACATGCAAAACTCCAGACAGATAACCTGAACTCAGGAGCGAACCAGGGACTCTAGAGTTGTGAGGTGGCAATGTTACCTGCTGCACCACTGTACCACAATAAGATTATTTAAAAAAAAAATAAAAAATGAAATGATTAGATTAGATGCCAGAGACATTTAAAGACTCCTGGTTGTACTGGAGCACACAGCTGTCAAACCAAGAGCAATTAAAAGCCCTCTTTTTGTGCCTAAGTACTGATGTGGATTCTGAGACAGCCTTATTACTTGTATCATTGTGGCCCAAGTCATGTTCCAAATCTTTTAAAACACACTCCTTCTCCCCGTTCTGATGCTCTATTTACTCCTTCTCCCTGTTCTACTCCTTCTCTAGTGCCTACCTGTTTTACTTCTGCCTTCACACTTTCTCAGTTTTGCTTCTCTTTTCACTTCTGTTCCCTGCTCATTCTCTAGCAATATACAAATACAAAAACAACAAATACAAATTGTGTGATTTTGTTTTTGCATCATCAGCTCATGCTAGGTACACTGTAAAAAATGTCTGTGCAATTTACGGTGAAGAACTGTTAAATAATAACAGTAAAAAACTGTAAATGGAAAAATGGGGGGACAAAACGTTTCCGAAAACATCAGAACACCGTAAATAGTAACACAAATCAATCCTGTTATTTTTACTCTAACAATTTCTAAACCTAAACCAATTTTGCTGTATAAAATACTGTTTACCTTCAAAATTAACAGTGAAATACCATCATGTGTTAAACAAACTTGTACCTTGTCTGTTGTATGAGTTTCTTTTTCATTGAGATGTATGAGATAAATTTGGAAAATTGGCCCAGTTAACTTGTGTTTTGACAAGATTTAATGCCAGTGTAGTAATTTGTTGGATTTTAATTGCTATTTATTTATGTAAAAATACTTTTACAGGTTTTGAAAATACCAGTATTTTAGTGTAAAATGGCTGTAGTTATAGAAAAAAATACTTATGTACAGTTAGGGTCATAAGTTTACATACACCTTGCAGAATCTGCAAAATGTTAATAATTTAAAAAAAAAAAAAAAAGAGGGATCATAAAAATTGCATTTTATTTTGTTTTTTATTTAACACTGCCCTGAATAAGCTATTTCACATAGCAGATGTGTACATATAGTCCACAAGACACAGTAATAACTAAATTTACACAAAATGAACCAGTTCAAAAGTTTCCATACACTTGATTCTTAATACTGTGTGTGTTACCTGGATGATCAACGACTGTTTTTATGTTTTGTGATAGTTGTTCATGAATCCCTTGTTTGCCCTGAGCAGTTAAACTGCCCACTGTTCTTCAGAAAAATCCTCCAGCTCCTGCACATTCTCTGGTTTTCCAGCATCTTCTGCATATTTAACCTCTTTCCAGCAGAGGCTATATGATGCTGAGATCCATCTTTTCACACTGAGGACAACTCACAACTATTACAAAAGGAGCAAACATTCACTGATTCTCAAGAAGGCGACACGATACATTAAGAGCCAGGCGGGTGTAAACTTTTGAACAGGATGATCGGTGTAAATTGTTATTATTTTGTTTAAAGATCTTTTTTTTTATTTTATTTGGTACTGCTCTTCAGAAGCTACATAAGACCAAATAATAACAATTTACATCGTTCATCTTGTTCAAAAGTTTACACCCCCTTGGCTCTTAATGTAGTGTGTTGCCTTCTTCAGAATCAGTGAATAATTGCACCTTTTATAATAGCTGTGTACGAGTTCCTCAGTTGTCCTGAGTGTGAAAAGATGGATCATATAGCCACTATAGCAAAATTAAACAAAATACTAGGACACTACGTTTGAAATGTCAGTTACTTGAAATTAATTTCTTGTTTATAGATCTGTTATATAAAAGCACTGTCACACTCTTAATCATGCTGTTGTACTCAATACTCAATGTGACTCAATGTGATTAAACGATTAAACTGATATTTAGTACAACAGCACTCTTGCTCTTGTGATATATTTTATACTGTTGTATATTCTCCTGTAGTTAATACTAAGATGGACAGATGTACAATTTTATATATATATATATATATATATATATATATATATATATATATATATATACATTACTTAAACAGGCAGCTCATCAAGTGCTGGCTCCATTGCTAATGTCTCCCAATTCAGTCAAGTGAACCACCATGCACTCCATATCAAAAGCCCCAAATTATATTGGGCTTCTGTGTAATGCCAGGCATTGTGCCACTGTTTGCTTTGTTGTGTCATTTTGCATTATAAAACCATAAAGGTGATAGTATCCAGAAACCACTCTTTGCTTTATCTTACCAGACCCTCCAAGGCACACCATCTTTTACTGTATAATGTAGAAGTATATAAATAAGTCTAGAACAAGAAAGGAAGAAATATTGATACACAGCAATGATGATGTTGATGATGAGAGCATTTGTTTTAAAACGTCATTAGTAGTAGTAGTTTATTTTTATTATTAAAACTTTCTTTATGATAAGCAAAGCTGTGGTTAATTTCACTGTAAATGGAAGCAGAAGCAAGCTTCTTATTTCTCTGTCCCCTAAAAATAAACTTGCAACACAATTACTCATCAGACGTGAAGTGACAGAAAGCACTGGCCAGTAATTTAGTTTGTTTCCAATTTTGACTCAACAACTGGGTTTGTAGATGGAATTAACTCTGCGTTTTTGCATGGATGTGATGAACAGAGTAGCTTTGGAGGAACAAAGGCTATCGGGCCACACCTGGGCCATTACATCAAACACCAATGTGCCCAAATAACTCTAAATTCATCTGCTGAAAAAGGGCTTTGTGTATGCAGACATAGAGCTCAAAGCATGCTCTGATGCAGACATTAAAGGGTTTGCATAGAAGATAATGGGTTCTGGCTTGTGCACTGTTCTTTGGTCTCTGCATGCTCTGGTTTTGTTCAATTCACCAGCATCTGGGCCGTCTGTTTTTTCTTCTACCAAATATGTTATCAGCGTGAACCTAACTTTCTTAATGTTAAAGTCAGCAGATTCACACAAATACTCACAAAAGTTTGTGATGACATACATTAAACATGTCA